TTTCTTCTTGCTTCCACTAGTGTAATTTGTGCCGAAGAGATTTTGATAAATATGCTGAACGACAGGTTTTTTAAAGGGTTTTGATGATGCAACAAACAGGACTCTTTTTGTTTGCAGTTAAGTGCATTTTTGGATACCTTTCTACATACATGAGAATTCCTTAACTGATCTGTATTCAATCTCCCCATTTTTGAAAAAGTTTTTGTATTATTTGTAAAACCAATGAAACAGTCCACTTGAAACTTGCCTTTAATCGTTTTTGATTAGGTTCGCTTCAGCCACTCGAAGTTCTGTTTTCATAATAAAACTGTTTGCTTTGCTGTATTAAAAAAAAGTATTAATCACGGTATATTTAGAAAATAAACGATTAATTGATTTACTGTGTAGCGCAAGGCAGAAGTATCTCAACAAGTAAGTTATAGAGCGCCTTGATTTATATCAAGAAGAAAACATCTGAACTAATTATTGTAAAGGGGTAATTTTCACTAGCTGTTTAGCGTAACGTAATTTTAACGTAATTTTAACTAGCTGTTTGGATTAAGTACTAAATTTTATTCAGTTTTTTAAGTTTTTTAGCCAGCTATCTTGTAAAAATTGCTTATGCCTATTTAAAGCTAACCATTTACGTCGTTTAATTTTTTAAATTGATTTTCAATAAAAAATGGTAGTAACTTTTCGGAAAATAGTCGCTTGAACGCGCGTTGTTAGCCACTTCATGTCACTAATTATTCAAAAAATAACTTTAACTGCGTGGTAGCAAGCTCAGCTACATTAATCCTTATTAATATTGCCATAAACTCTGAACAAAGCATATTCATACTTTTCGTAAAACCAATTTTATTTTTATCAAATATAAGATATGAATCCGCTTTAATTTTAAACTTTCAGTGATAATCCGCATTTGCGTTAGAGTTTTTAAATCGTGTATATGATAGAGCAAGATATACTACTGAGTTAGCATGGACAAAGGCACGTAAGTGCCACTTATTCTCTCCTCCCTTCTACTTTATTTATCTGGAAATATAAGTTTCTTGCTCTCTATTCTAACATCTTATTCCAACGTAATTTGAAACATTTATCAGCCGACACCGTATTCTGGAACATTATTTGAATGCTCCAGACAATTTGGTCATAACGGCTGCATACAGAACTTATTAAGCCGTAAAGCAATTATTTCAATAACCCTAAAAGCCTTCTATCTCTTACATCCATTAATCGTTAGAATTATTTCTAAAATTTTGTACAACGACGAGCTGAAACCAGCGTTATCAGACCTAAACCGAACAATGTGGAAACGTTTACGGTTTTCTAAACCTTTTGGTAATACACCAACTCCATTTTTAGATGTACCGAGAAAACAATGCAAACCACCCCTATTTAGCTGGACCATTGAATAGCAAAATGAAGCTGCTTTACAAATCGCAAACAAAATTTATCTATATCTCCAATAGAAATTTACTATTCTCTGTTACTACAGTTCAACAGTGCGAGATCTGAAGGCTCGAAAACCGGATCTGACATTTTACACGGTAGGTTTGTATACGGGCAAACAGACAAAAGTGGTCTTCTCGCTCAAAAACAGATCTAACAAGCAGCTGACGGAAAAAACAGAAGGGTTCTTCTCTGACAGAAGTCAATTTACTGTAGCTTCTACGAGGTCTAAAGAGGGAGTAATCATACTAGATGGTCGAAGAGTATCAAGAAACTCTCCTATGCAAAGAGATTTCTTTTTTGAATTGGAAAAACAGTTGGGATCGTTCTTTAAGATGAGTTTGTGGGCTATCAGAGTTGTTATAATTCTATTTTTTCCTCGAGACTGTCGACGCTTTCACTCGAAATTGAGTGACATTACAAGAATAGTGAAATAGCTAGGTCAAAACTTGTAACATAAATTTTAGAAAAGAATATGATCAAAATCTGTTTGACAAGATGTTTTTATAAACAACTTCCGGGATTGAACTGTAATGAGTGTTGTGTATTCTTAGTTATTTTTATTGTGGCAAAACAAAGGATTTGCTCTTTTTTAGAACAAGGGCAGAAGAGAAAACTGATTCGTAGGATGGTTCTTGTTAATATTTCTCGTTACGAAATTCTATTTCTTATTAAAGTTCACTTGATTTCCTTTCCCCCTCTGGATTTATCTTCCAGTCTTTCTTCTTCATTCCGTCTCTTGAGTAAACCTAACTTCTTCAAAGACTGGCAGTTGGACTTATATCATATCCTCTAACCCTGTTTCACGGTGTGTTTCCCTGTCCTTCAATAAAATTAAAATTTCTTTTCTATCTGCTTATTGGTTCTATTGCTTTGACATCTACTTAATCGAGGTCAGATAGTATAAGCTCTGAAAGTTTAATAACATTGACTGCGTTATAAGAAAGCTCTTTTAGTTAACCCAGATGGATCACAGTATTTTTATACAAGAGAAACAGGTCGTAATTCTGCAGGTTTAATTAAGACCAACGTAAATTAAGTTACTGTAGGGCTAGAGAAGTTCCATTACAGTAGTTCTACAACTCGTTTTTCTTTGAGCGCTATCCTGTTAAATTTATAGGTACTGTTTCACATATCTCATTCATTACAGCTTGAATATTTGGGACTCTTTGGACATCTGGTGCGCTAAAAATAAAATTATTGTACGTTGACACTGTCAGTTATCTTCTTATTATACCATTTTGTGAATACTTGCCTTGTTCCCTTTGTTCTGCATCTTCCACCTGCAAATGTTGTGTTATTGTAACAGCTAGTAAAAACGGGCTGGAGGTGACTTTAAGGCAATCTCTTTAAACCTGTATGTCTTCAAAGAAGCTTTCCTAACTTCCTCTTCTAAATTCTTAATCTATAAAAAACGTGTGACAGTCTGATTTCTTTAGTGTAGTTTGATTTGCAGAACTTTCTTCTTTACGCCAGCCGTTACTGTAATGCTGTGCATTTGAAAGTTCGGGATTCTGCAGAGATTTGGAAGTAAGATTGGTATGTTATACAAAGTCATTTATATTTCTTAATTTTTTCTTGCTTTTGATGAGGTATCGTTAATTATTTTCCGTTTTACTATCTCCCTCCACGGGTTTAGCATTGAATAATGAAGAAAGTAATAAACTAAAAAAATTTCTTTGTTTCCTGGGACTTCATCAATTGAACCTCTACCTCCTTGTTCTTTAAAGGCTTTGTTACATTAAATGAGAAGATTCTTATTTTTTTTCAGTTTTTTAATCAATTTTAGTCTCAAAGAACACAGCCTATAGTTATCAACTGTTTTTATAATAATAAAAGTAAAAATGTTAAA